GTATAGTCAATATTATTTATACTTATTTCTTAGACCTAGAGCCCCTTCTCCTTCATTCAAAAACTTATGTACCAAATATATATTTCTTATACACTGTTCTTTGCTTCTTTTCATTATGTCACTATCTTTTTCCCCATCAGATGCAATTGTACTATTTTAGTCAAGTTAACACTTTAACTGACATTAATACTCTATATGCAAACAGTGTGGTCTTAAGCTCTTCATTTACTGAGGCTGGAGAAAGCTTAGTAGTTTAAGATATTTAAGGGCTTATATTTGTAAGTATGCCTTTCAAACACTATTTTTAATTTATAAGGATATAATCAGTAACTAAACTAATCCTAACACTAGGATTATCTGCCTAATTCATATATATATAATCATATACTTTTTTTTTCTTTTTAATTTTTGAAACAGGGTCTCACTGTGATGCCCAAGCTGGAGGGCAGCGGCGAGATCAAGGCTCACTGCAGTCTCGACCTTCCAGACTCAATCAATCCGCCCAACTCAGCCTCCTGAGTAGCCAGGACTAAAGGTGCACACGACGAGACCGGACTAATTTTTGTATTTTTTGTACAGAAAGGGTTTCACCACGCTGCCAAGACTGGTCTCAAACTCCCTGCCTCAAGCGATCTGTCCCCCTTGGCCTCCTAAAGTGCTGGGACTACAGGCATGAGCCTCCACACCTGGCATATCTTACATTAAGAAAGAAACATAGTATTCAAATTAATTTTAATTTCATCCATCTGCCCCTAAAATAACTCAGACCTTACTAATATATTTTTATTGTGGTACAATAGTCCTTGTCTTTAAATTAGACTATCAAAATACTTTTTAAAATAATATAAAATCAATCACGTATCTCACATGAAAATCTAGAGGTTGTTTACAATTCCCTTAATGAAAACATAACGGCCATAACATAAATACTCCAACAATATTGGATAACATTAGATAATACCTACTACTATAACTGACCTACCAGTAAATATGCCAAGCAAGACATCGTATGGGTTTATGTGATATATGATACAAACTGCAACAATATTTCTTTGGAAAAAAAATTTACTTTTCGAAGCAGCAGCAGAACCCAAGAAAGCAAAATCCTGCACCAAAACTGGCATCGTCCTGCACCCCCCCCCCAACAAAAACCTGTTAACAAAAAGTTTACAGGAAAATAAGTTTGATTAAAAGGAAATACAAGCATAATCTGCTAGAAGAAATACAGTGAAAGGGTTGTCGGGCTCTTTTCTAAAAACGGTTGCATCTGAATTATTTCAAATCAAAGCAGAGACCATGATAAATTGGGCTCTAACAGATGACTTACAGAGCACAGCGACGGCCCCAGACTCGAACATGAGACATTCTTCCTTATGCCTAGTTTCCACTATGAGGCTGAAAGGTGGGGGATCCAATTTGTGATAGATCCGGAATCCTTTACTGAACGCCATTCTCCTTTCTTCGGAGGCAGCCCTGTGGACACCAAGCAAAGCAAAGCAAATGAAGCTGATGTTTCCTTCTGCAGCAAGGACTGCAAAGCATCCAAAAGTCCCTCCCTGCCAGGTTTTGATGGGGGGTTGGGGTGGGGAAAAAACAGACAGCTCAGGGAGAAAATGGCTTGTTCCAAAAGATAAGTCGTCACTTAATTTTACCAAAAAGCAAGAGGAAAAGCTACCAATTCTCATACCAAGGCAAGACAAGGTTTTAGCACTGTAAGTCCATCAACGGTTTGGTTGAGTTTCCCGTTTAATTTATGCTTACTGAAAGGAAAAATTTTGAGCGTATTTCGTTCGGAGTTGTTTATCAGCTTCCTGCTTCAAGATCTGTCACTACGTTGAAAGGGAACCGATTTGGAAACTTCAAGCAGTTGCTTCGAGGGGAAAGGAGCGGAGGTGGGAGGGAAGGGTGACAAGGCTGGTTCAAAGCTCCTTAGGGGGCAGGAGGAGGAAAAGGATTATTCTACGCGACAGGCTCTCCCGGGGGTGGCGACGAAGGGCAAGGGAAACGGCACAGGTTACCACCGCCTCCCCTGCCCCGGGCTACCGTCGGCTCGGGGGACGGCAGGCGGGGCCGAAAAATACGAATGGCCACCCGGGAAGAGTCATGACTCGGGGCACCGACCCGACTGGGGCTCCTCGGGGTCCCGGGAAGTCGACTGCCCGGGAAAACGGCTCCTTCTCAGAGAGACTGAAGAGGCGAGAAGCCCAAACCCTCCATTTATGCGCCAGAAGAGATGACCCGGCGCCCAGGCGGATTCGGTTCGTTCCCGCGGGCAGGCTGACAGCCGCTGTCACCAGCCCCCAGCCTGACGCGGCGCCCTGCACAACCCGTGGTCTCCTCACAACCGCGCCCGCTCTCCCGCACCCCGGCTGCTCGCGGTCGCCCCTCACCGCTCCCGCTGAGGCTGCGGAGGCAGAGGCTGGTCTTGGAGGCGTCCGCCCGCCCGGCTGCCGGTAGGTCTGGCCGCGGCCGCTCCCCGCCCCCCGCCGGCTTGCTCACCCCTTCCTCCGGCTCCTCCTCCTCCTTCTCCCGCAGCCGCCGCCACTGCCTCCAGAAGCGTCACTTCCGCTCCAGCAGGCCCATCTCTTCCGCATTGCGCCGCGGCAGCGGGCGGAAGATCCGCCCCTCACGAGGGAAGGGGCGGGGCGTCAGGAGAGAGATCACGCCCACTCTGCGCCTACCGGCCAGGCCGGGCACCAGCGGGCGGCCAGAGCCTCAGTCTCCAGCGACCTTCGCCTCCTGCGGCCGCCCCCAGGCCGAGCCGCGATCCCACCGCCGGGGGTGCAAGGAGAGGGAAGATCCGGCCTCCTTGGTCCCTTTGCGTGGGCTCTTCAGAGCGTGAGCGCCGGGGAGGGACTCAGGAGAAAAGCTTGGGGGGCTGCGTATTGCTGCTCCCCAAGCTGGGCGTCAGGACCACCCCCTGCCGCCCCCACGGGCCTGACGGGAGAGGAGGCAGGGCTCGGTATGGTCGGCTCGCCTAGCCAACTAGGTGGCGCCTGAAGAGCTGTCCATGGTGTCGACAGCCCAGCAAATGGCACCGAGTTCCTAGTCTGAGTGTCGGGGTAGGTAGCAGAAGAAAAACTAATGCCTGCTCTGGGACAGTTCTGTTCGGTGCCTTTTCTTGTGTGTTCTGGAGCTCACAGGGTGCTATCGAAGAGTGTTCAGGTGTATACGATGGAGAGTGGGAAGTCACAAACCAGGATCTCAAGGCTGAGTCCAACAAAACATGGCTGTAGGGAGACCACTACAGCTGTGGTTGTCACTGATGGATGAATAGCTTTTGCCAACTGTAGAATTTAGTGACTAAAGGCACCTGACCCTTTTATCGCATCCTCATTTTTCAACAAATCGTGCTTCCTGGCTAATATCAGCGTGTCCCATAGATTTATTTCTGCTTCCATTGAATAGACCTAATAAGTATGAGAATGAAGTCAAAGCCAACAGGGCAGAAAGGAATTGAAAACCTGAAGAACCCAGCACTCAAACTGTCTCCACTTGCCTTTGCTCTTTGTTTACCTCTTCTCCTTCTGGTTTTTAACAGCCAAAGCAGAATTTAAATTTGGTTATGTTGCAAAAATCATTTCCCTCTTCAGGCCCTGTCATGTGACTTGATTTTTTTCATCCATTTTAGAGAAGCTGCACCCACCCTGGTTTCAGGACACGGAACTAAATTTATTAGAAAAGAAGCCACTTCAAGTCATGAAGGAGAAATACAAAGATTCTTGGATTTCGTTGTAAGAACTAGAGGGGGTTTCTATCTCAGTACTGTCTCAGAAAAAAAACTGTCGATATCAAATGCGTTGCTTGAGAGGTACCTTTTATGACAACTGAAATCACTCAGTTTCAAGAAGAGTTGGGGACTGGAACAAAATTAACTTACTCCAAAGCCCAAAATCTTTTCCACCATGCCTGTGTGTCTGTAAGGCTACACTAGAAACGCATCCTCTCTTAGTGTGAAGCATGGGTACTAAGCTCTTTTAGGAACAGGTGTTCTGCATATTCCTGGTTCCTTTTTATTTGGAACTAAGGAGATTTAGGTCAAAATTTCTGGGTTGTGGGTTGGAATTCCTGCTTCTTTCTTCAAATTAAACTGGGGGATAGCAAGACTCTTATTCCTAGATTGTTAGACAGCCACAGCTTTTCCACATCTCTTTTTAGTCATGAAAAGACATGCCCAGAGTTTGAAAAACATAAAGGCAATTTGACTAGTGGCTTGACTGGTTCTATCTTCTTTTTCTCGTCCCTCTTTCCTATTTATACTTCTACTTTTGTTACAGCATTTGACAATAGCTGGAAAAATTTTCACTGACCTTGAAATGTCTTTGGGGTAGGGTGACTTAAAATATAGGTTAAGTGGCATACACAGATTTCTTAGTGAGATCCTAAGGGCCTACAGAGACAGGCTGACACCAACTCAACCCTTGAAACTGAGCAATGAAGAGCCTGTGGGAGGCTAAAAAATGCTGCTTCAAAAAGATGTCCTTGTCTGTGAATGTTAATTTAGGTTAATTTGCAGATTTGATTAAGGGTCTTGAGATTATTTTGGATTATCCAGGTGGGCTCTAGGGCCCTAGATGCAATCACAAGTGTCCTTATAACAGGGAGGCAGAGGAAAATTAAACATGCACACACGAGAAAGAGAGAGAGAGAGAGAAAGAGAAAGAAAGTAAGTAATATGAAGACAGCAGCAGAGATTGGAGCTTGGCAATAGCCAAGCTATGTCAGCAGCCGTCAGAAGTTGGAAGAGGCAAGGAAGGATTTGAGCCTAGAGCCTTCGGAAGGAGCATGGCCCTGTTGATTCTGGCCTCCAGAACTGTGAGAAAATACATTTTTGTTGTTTTAAACCACCCAGTTTGTGGTAATTTGTAACACCAGCTACAAGAAATCAACACAAGGCTGATGTGACTTTCCATCAGGAGAGAGACAGCCCCAGGTAGGTGTTTCAGATATTACATCCAACAGAACAAAGTAAAGACAAACACCCTAAATTTTCAATGTTGATTTGTGAGCAAGTTATTTCTCCTATGGGTAACTCTCGTTGAAATATGCAATTCATTATGTGGAAACATGGAATTGTTATTTCCATAGGTTAAAAAAAAAAAACCTCACATAGTGGCAACATATGGCCCAACCTAATAGTATGTCCCAGGCAGACTATACAAGAATTTACATATTTACAGATGATTAATGATAATCCCAAATAATCACATTAAAAAACTATATCAAGTGCATGGCTATAAATTTTGACAGGTGATTACTATGTGAATTAGTAGTAGTACCTGCTTTTCTCTTTTGTCTGGCTTTATTTTTTTGGCAAAAATGCTAGACAACATGGAAAATCAGGGAAATAGTCACAATCTGATTCAGTAACCTTTAAACAGCTTCTTCTCAGGTTACATAGGCTAACTTTTATATCAGGATCAGGATCTGCAGAGCAATTAGTATAGTGCTCTGCAGATCCTGGTCCTAATATAATATAGTATAGCAGGATCTGCAGACCCTAGTTGTACCTGGCCATGCTCCCCACCAATGACTGAGAAAGAAATGGCTCATTGTTCAAGAGAAAACAATGGTCTTGAAAGACAACACAACAGTAGGTTACAAAGAGCATTAGCTTTTTCTTTAAAGAAATTCAATGTAACCAGTGAAGGATGAGATTTTAAATTAGAAAAATGGAAATCCTATGAATAAAAAACTAGTAAGCTCAAGAGCAGAATCACTGTGGGGAAAAAAAAAAAACTGAAAAATAACTTGCAGGTACCATAGACAGGAAATTGCCACTAGAGCAAACAGGAAACTTGTGATAGATAAAAATGAAGTGTTTTCATTTGGAACAAGAGACCAACTGAAGAGAGATCAAGTGAAGGGGGTTTATTTTAATGACACACAAGGATTCTTGTGGAAATCAAACTGCCGGAGCCAAAAACAGGGCTCAACCTTCAAGATTAGAGTTGTGTTCAAGTTGTTCAAGTTGACTCTGGGTCCCAAAGCAACAGCAATTTCACTAAGGTTATGCGTAAAAGGTAAGCTTTCATGATCAAAATGTTTTTGCAAAGTAGCTTAGAATGGTTTCTGCAGTGTTTTGTCAAAACTTTTCTCATATATTTTCCTAAAGATATTTAACAAGATCCTAAGAAGTCATCTGCTAGGGATTCTCATTGTACTGAATGATTGTATCCTTTAAGCCTCTGGAGTTAGGACTCACAGGAACCCAGTACAAATTACCGGGGGCTAGAGTCCAGAAGCAGGCCAGGGGCCCATCTACATTGCACTTCGATACCAATCCCATATAACAATATTCAGCCTGTGTTTGGGCAGTATGAAGCAGCCCTTAGCAGCTGTGAACCCCATATGCATGGACAGTTTCAGTTCTGGAGGGCAGTCTTCAAAACATTTATGAAAGTACAAGACCTCCCAAACATTCAGAGATATTTAATTTTTCTTCCTACATGTAGTGCCAGTGTTTTTCTCATTTTCATTTACTTGAAACAACAAATCAAATGTTTTGTCATAATCAGTGAATGGCAAGACTCCCTTTATTACACAGGTATTGCCATGTTAGAGATAAGAAGAGCTCTTGTAACCATAAACAACCACTACAATGTAGCAACTTACAGCTTCCTATTTTATATTGCAGCTCTGTAACATTTGACCATTTTTGTAAGGGTTTCATGATTTCAAGGACGATTATTAGCACTTTCCATTTTTGGCCAATTCTGGATGGTGGTAATGTTACCACTGCAGGCAACGATGGCTCTACTCAACTGAAGACCTCTTGTAGGCAATGTGGACCATATCTGCTTTCCTACCTGAGAGATTAGCAAATTGGGTTTAGTGATCATGAAATTCTCTCAGATCTCATATTAGCAAGGAGACCCTGGTTGTACTTGTCAGGGCTGCCAGTTGGCCCTGCTGGAACTTTAGAACTGCACCAATGTCTAAGACTTTCATCCCTCCCTCCTTCCTTCACACAGGTGAAACCTGCCTGCCTGACAGCTTTCCCAGCCTCCTCCAGGCTCCCCTGTTTTCTCTTATACACATTCCCCCCCAGTAAACTTCTTGTACATTTAATGCCATCTCAGTGTCTGCTCCCAAGAGGACCCCCACTGACTCACTGGGGCATTTAACCTCCAATTCCTTTCCTCCCCTGGCTGAGATCTGTTCCAAGAAGTATCTCCAGGACACTCCAGCCTGTTGCACAGGCCAAAGAAAAGCCCTCAGGCAGAGGAGCAAGTACTTGCAAGAGGACACCAGTGGCAAGAACAGGGACATGGTGAGACATCAACATCATTGGCTACAGTAGTACTAGTCACTCTTGACTGTTGTTTCAATAGTTTTCCTTCTCAAAAACATTTGTCACCTATGTTGGAGTTAATTCAGAGGACTGCTCCAAAAGAAAAAACTAAAAAGCAAAACCAGCTTTATTAAAATGGTTCTGGATTTATCTTTTGAGAATTCCTTTCATAAGAAATAATGTCCTTAAGCTATATCAGGAATAAAAATGTTCTGCTTGAGATAGAAAAACTATTGGTTTTATGTACCCTACATCAAATTTCTAGTGTGATGTTCAAACCCATTCCTGAAACCTATAGCCTGATAGATTTCATAGGATAAAAAGCCTGAGTTTAAGAGTTCTTAAAAGCAGAGTAATTAGTCTAATGGGTTTGGAAATAATATGCAGTTTAAGGCCTAAATGATCTGCATGTGATACATATACATGTTTATATGTTTTATTCTACTTAAAATGAGGAATAGGTGTTCTGACTTTAATCCTACTTAGTAAGCCAGTAAGGTGTAACAGAAAATTCATCCAGAATGAATACTGTTTTGGTTTGGCTGTTTCCCAACCCAGTCGCACCTTGAATTGTAATAATCCCCACATGTCAAGGGCAGGACCAGGTGGAGATAGCTGAATCATGGCAGGTGGTTTCTGCCATACTGTTCTGCTAGTGAGTTCTCATGAAATCTCATAGTTTTATAAGGGGCTTCCCCCTTCCCTCGACACTCATTCTTTCTGTTGCCACCCTGTGAAGATGTGCCTTTCGTCATGATTGTAAGTTTCCTGAGGCCTTCCCACCCATGCAGAACTGTGAGTCAATTAAACCGCTTCATAAATTACCTAGTCTTGGGTATGTCCCTATAGCAGCCTGAGAATGAACTAATACAAAGATGTAGGGATAAGATAAAATTAACAGAGGAAATAGAGTGCATGACACTGTTCTGCATATTATGTTCTGATCAAGGGTACACATGGGCCTGCTCATAGTCCCACTTTATTAGTCATTTGAAATGCTGCAAACTTAGTCATCAGGAAAATACAAAAAAGGATATATTTAAAAATTAATTTAATGCTTGGCTAAAGCTTAATTACATATATAATTATCAAACGATAGTCCTTAATTTCCAAAAAATTCCTCTTTTGAAAATCACAGAATCAGAAAGCATAAACTTTAAAACAAGTTCTTTGAATATTTACAATGTGATATAAACATTATAGAAGACCATGGATATTAAATTGCCTGGGTGTGGCTAATCAGCAAGGCGTATTCTTTATTGCATATTTAACTCACATATGTGGGATTTTAAATATGACAGACTACTAAAATTCAAATGCATGTATGTGCAAGCTGGGCAGGGAGTAAAATCATGAATGAGACAGGACGGTCAGCCCAAAACCATGCAATTAGGTTGTGGGTTTATTATTCTCAAAAGTGAAATTTCTATGTTCCATTTGAAAGTATGTTGCATATATCATTTAGCATTCACATTAAACCCACATTTGACTCTAACGCTGATTCAAGGAAAAAAGTTCAACATTCACTCAACGACTAAGTCCACAACTCAACTCTCAATGTTAAGGCAGCACAGCTACAGTGATAGCAACGCTAACCAAAAGGTAATGAACATTTAGTCACTTGCCAGCCCTTTTGTTACAACAGTGTAGTAATTTCCCTAAGACAATTTGCTACCGGATAATTTTCTGCTGTTAAAAGGCTTCCTCTGTAGAAAAACACCACAAATTTCCAGTGTGAAAGTAAATCCATGGTGGTATAAATATATATATGCATAATTACACAATTTACACTGCACACATCGTTTACAGGGGACAATTAACTGAGAGGGTTAATTTAAATGACCATACAAAATACTTCTGTAAACAAAGTATGACAGGCAGTAAACATTCATAGACTCCTAGAAATAATCTGAATTCCTTTCATTCTGAAGAAATATCATTTAAGGACACAGTATTGAATATAATGTTTTTTGTATTAAAACAAGAATCGCTATTTTACAGTTTAAGAAACTTTACATATATACAAAATTTACACATTGGGAATGGTAATCAAGCAAATAGGTTTTCCAGTCTCACAGATCTATTTTCCTTCAATCAAAGACTTAAATTCTTTCACATTGTGGTCACTTGCAACAGACATAGCATGATCCAAAGCTCGAACACTTGCAAGGAGTTTTACTATCTGTTTTATGTTTTCCCTAAAAGAAAAACATATAGCAGCATCTCATTAATTAGTACATCTAAGAGAAAATTTGCTACTGATTTCATGGCTATTTTAGAGCTTCTGCAATCAATTTTTCCAAGCACACATTTTCAAAGAAGGGAAATAGATATACAAGCTACAGCACGTAGGAAAAAAAAAAAAAGCCTGGGCGCGGTGGCTCACGCTTGTAATCCCAGCACTTTGGGAGGCTGAGGCGTGTGGATCACCTGAGCTCAGGAGTTCAAGACCAGCCTGGCCAACATGGTGAAACCCCGTCTCTACTAAAATTAAAAAAAAGAAAAAAAAAAGTTTACATTTATCCATATAAAACAAAACTTACATATGTTTAAATGACTAGCCCAGAGACAGGGGACCCATTTAAAAAAAAAAAAAACAAAATTCATTGAGATCAATGAGTTTCATTAATATTGCAAAAGAAGAGAAAGCAATCTGTTTTCAAAGTACTTCAGAGGCCTGTCTCCCATTCCTTCTCAAACAAGAGTCCTGGCTCTTTCAGCATATACCTGGAACACAAAGGGTATTTGTGTCTTTTCATCACTAATCCATCAAGATCCAGCGTAACTTCCACTCCACCAAAATTCACTAAATAAAGTATAATCTGACTTTCCTTATCACCCCAGCTAGAAGGCATTCTGCTTTCTTATTAGGAAGTAATCCTCAAATTTTAGAACACATTAGAATTACCTAGAGAGTTGCTGAAATGCAGATCATCCCTGGCCCCACCCCAAGAGTTCTATTCAGTAGGCCCACAGTGGGGCCTGAGAACTTGCAAGTCTATCAAACTCCCAGTATCATGCTGATACTGCTGGTCTAGGGACCATACTTTAAGAATGACTGTTTTAACAGTTAGCTTAAACCACTCATAAGAAACAAGACATAATATGACATTAGTAATTGTCTCATCTCTTCTATAGAATTGTAGTAAGCACCTATTAGGGAAGAATTAGAATTTGCAAAACTTGGCAACCCACGTGAAACCTGCTTTATATGCATTGCACAAAGCAGGTGCTTACATAGCTGTTAAAGTTCTTTTCTGTAGAAAAGTAAACACTATTTGTTAACTCCCAAACAGAAACACTGTTAAATGTATGTAAATCAAAGTTTAAAATGTGATAAAACTTATCTAGTAGAAAACAACACACTGAGAAAAAATGTTAGTGCCAACAAATAACAAAATGGCACACACTAAGAACAAAATCAAATCAACCAAAACCTGCCAAAGAATTTTACCATTAAAATCTTTTTTGTTGTTTTTTGAGATGGAGTCTTGCTCTTTCGCCAGGCTGGAGTACAGTGGCACAATCTCAGCTCACTACAACCTCTGCCTCCCAGGTTCAAGCAATTCCCCTGCCTCAGGCTCCCAAGTAGGTGGGACTACAAACATGCACCACCACGCCCACCTAATTTTTGTATTTTTAGTAGAAACGGGGATTCACCATATTGGCCAGGATGGTCTCGATCTCCTGACCTCGTGATCCGCCTGCCTCAGCCTCCCAAAGTGCTGGGATTATAGGCGTGAGCCACCGCGCCCAGCCTAAAATCTTTAATAGCTACTTTAATTTTATTGTGGAAAAAATATCCAATTTTCTTGCAGGAAAATAAGGTCTGTTTTCAAGAAAGGGGAATGAGGGAACGGAAGAAGGTTTTGTTATAGGGGTATGACTAATGGTGTGATCTAAACAAAAATGAAACTTTGACATTACAAAGATATATGAAATTAAAAATTTAAAAAGACAATTCCTTCAAACTGCCCTAGTGCTATTATTTACTTTTTATGCTAGAGATTTATCCCAGAATTACCTGAATATCCGTAATTAATGTCCACAGAAAGGCTAATGGTTCATTCACTCTTTTCTTACAACCCTTGATAAAAATTAGAAATAAGTTGCTCCCAAAAAGCCATTAGTGATAACCTCTAGTTCATAATATGGATTAAAACAAAAAATTTCCCCAAATTGGGAGATAACCTTGAATTTACATCTGTATAATGAAACTCCAAACAAGAGAGTCTGAGACCTCTCTAATTCTTCAGAGGGAGACAGAGAAAACCACCATTGATTCACTCCCCTGAGGGGCTGGTCCTTACCAGAAGTCTTTCCTTAGTATCTTCATAAATAATATACTGAAAAAAGATAAAGTAAAAACTGCAAAAGCGAAAAATTATGTGCATTTTTGGTAGGTTTATAATACTAAGTGAACATACAATTTAAACTAAAATATAAATATTTCTACTTAAAACATTTTAATACTAAATCTGGCAACCAAAACAACTCTAGATTACCATTTCATTAATTACAAAATTACCTTGCATTTCTTTTTTCCACATCAGAGCACCCAATACTGTTTCTATAAATTGTATCTGCTAAGTGTACAAGGTATCGGCAAAAGTTTTCTAACTGAGAAATAGTCCTTTCTCCTTTCAGATTCATGAACCATTGTTTGGGGAAACAATTGATTACCTGTGGAGAAGAAAGATGTAAAAATAAAATAGTTAAGACAGAATAAATTAAAGTATTAAAAGCGAAGTCTAGATAACGGGTATAAATGTATTTCACCAGAAGATATGCTTCTGAGCTACAGCAATTACTCTGAAGAAATATTCTTTTAAATCTGACTTCCTACGTTAACTAAACCAATATACCTGAATTTTTACCCCAACCAATGGGTTAGGCACTCAAAGCAAAAGAAAATCTGTCCAATATTTGAGTAAATTAGTAATGTAAAACTGACAACCAACGGCTTCATTTTCCAGTCTTCTAGGATGGCCTAAATAAACTGAGTTTCCTTTTTCAGCAGTTTTTGATGTAAAAATATGAGTGGTATAAAAATGAAATCACAGTGCCCCCATCCCCCGCAATAATTCCATGAATAGGCATCCATGCATGCTGACAACGGGAGTCGAGTTGGCCCAGACTGAGGTTAAGACAGTAAGGTTATTATTATCCTGAAATTAAAGCTTTCATTTATACCTACAAAATATTAAAACTTTTACTAATATCTATAAAGTATGGATATAGATGGATAGATATATATAATAGTATGCATTTTTACGTAAAAAAAAGCCGTAGGGGTTTGGAACTACCTGGGTAGGCAAACTGTCAACCTTACATGCAAGTCCAGTAATCAAAGGGGTTTCATGAAATTCTCAAATCCCTCTTCAAACAAACAAAAACTTAATTCATTTTAACTCATATGCTTTAAAACCTACGCTATGTCATTTAACTCACATTTTGGGCTTTTTTGATGCTGTCATCTCCATATTCTGAATTCTGAAAAGCCATGAGAATATATCGATTTAATAAACCATCTATTGATAACTCTTGTAGAGTTTTATTTGAGAAAATGCCATACCACTGAAGAAAATTGCCTAATAGCTGGAAAGAAGAAAAAAAAAATAGGTAACGTGACACAATTAGATTAGGTACAAAGTAAATAAGTTACATAGTAAAACACCATATGAAATACAGCAGACCCTGTCTTGCCAAAGTACTAAGACATATTAATACTTTCAAAGGTACAGATATTTCCTAGAATGGTTACATTTGAATATTCAATTTTAATTAGTCAAAATTGAAACAGCCACATGTAGCTAGTGGCTACAGCACTGGTCAGCATAGATATAGAACAGTCCATCATCGCAGACAGTCAGGGAGTGCTAATTCTTAGGTAAGTGTCCTCTATTGAAAATTACACTCCAGCTGGTTCTATGCACACCCCCACCCCCACCTCCGCCGCCGCCCGCAAAGGATGGGAGAGTCTGACTACAGCCCTGCATGGCTACCACATATCATGAACTACAACCAAGTTATAGCACTGTGCATCTCAAGCTACCCAAGCTCAGTCAATACATAGAAAATGAAAGCTATCATCATAAAATGGAAGCCCCATCCCATCCCACCATAAAAATTTATAGTTTCCCAGTTGTTTCTCAACTTAGTAAATGGTAACACCATTCATTCCTGACCTCTCTCTCAAGTTGTGTGTCTCCACCACCATCCAGTCTCTCCATTTCCCTCAGTTCCTGCTGCCATCCCCCAAATCCAACCCACCTTAATCTCTTTGGAACCCTGCAGTTACTCCAGTGATTATGAGCAAGAGCATGGAGTAGCCTTTCTTAAGCAGGGCTCTGCAAGAGTTCCAAATCTACAGAAAATGATTTGTGTGGCTCTTTACTCAGTTCTCCCAAGAATGATACATAGTTAGTACTGTTACAGATGCACGGGAAAGAGGAGAATTCATTTCTGGAATTCTCCTGGAATGCCCTGGAGGCCTTAGGGCATTACGTATTAAGTCTCCCACAAAAGCCC